GGGGGGGGGGGGGGGGGGGGGGGGGGGGGGAAGGGAAGAGGGGAAGAAGTGGATGCCCTTGAGATATTTTGTTTCGTTCATCTGCTTCCATTTGGACTGGAATCTGGTGATGAGCCCTTGTGATTTTTTTTTTGCAGGGGCCTCTTGGGGGAAAAAAGAAAAAAAGATGCATCCGGGTAATTGCACAGGGATTTATGGGACTGGAACCTCCTTTTTTTTTTTTTTTTTTTTTTTAAGTGATTGGAACTTTGAAAGGCAGCAGCGATTGATTGCTAAGCTCTAGCTTTGGGCCTCGCCACACAACTGTCGGAACAAAAGAAAATGTTCAAGTGCATGTTTCCACAAAAGTGGCAAGATGCATCCATTCGGATGAATAGCAACGGATGCATCTCGCCACTTTTTGAGGAAGATGCTGCACTCAGGCTTTTTTCGTTGCGACAGTGGTGTGGCGAGGCCCTTTCTCTATCATGTTTTGGTTTCTCTTTTGTCTTGTTTTGTGACTTTTGTCTTGTTTTCTTTTGTCTCGTTCTCTCCTTTTTTTTTTTTTTGTTTGCATTGCTCTCTTTTTTCTTTTTTTTTTTTGAAAAATAGGGGTCTCTTTATTATATGTGCTAACAAAAAGAAAAGGCTGGAAACCAGGTCCAATATCCATTACGATCTTGTTTTTTTGTCTTTTGTTTTGTGTGTTTTTGTTGTGTTTCTATCTTGTGTTGTCTTATTTTGGAATGTATTGTCTTGTGTTGTTGGGGTTTGTAAATGTTTTTTTAGCAAACTCGGGACTGCATGCATTCAACTTCCTGAGTAATTCCGTTCTGAAGGAGGTGCACGCAGCGATTGTGAAGGCGAAGCCTGGGGCCTTTTCCCCCGGAAAACCGGCGGCGTTCCTCTGCAACTACAAGGCCAGCTTGCAATTTCTGTCGGCCCTTGAAGGTGGGTAGGTTTGTAGGGGGGTGGGTTATAGAGTGTAGGGGGGTGGGTTAGAGGGTGGGTGAGTTGGTAGGGGGGTGGGGTAGAGGGCGGGTGAGTTGGTGAGTGGGTGGGTTAGAGGGTGGGTGAGTTGGTGGATACGATTCTCTCATGTCCTGAAAGGCCTGGCCAGAAATAACCTCCTAGCAAAGGGGGATTACAGGCAGGCTTGCACTGGTGCTATGTTCATGCTTAGAAAGCAGGAACCTGGCCGTAATAGTGGCCAGGTTCTTGCTTTCATACCATGAACAATTAGCACCTGTGAGTGAGCCGTGCCCGCCAACGGCGAGTTGTTTTAATGAGGTGGAATGCACAGGGAAGTCTTGTGCGGATCGGCGTTAACGTATGTGCCCATTCTGTTATGTTCTCCTCGGCTTCGCTGGGTCGCATGTGGGACCTTTGCGTTGATTCTGTATGTTCCGTCTTTTCCCGTGCCTCTCTGCGTTTGCTGCCGTTGGATCTCGTCATCCTCTTTATTTTTCGACCAATCAATGAACAGGATCTGTGGATGAGTACTTACGGGCCTAGGTCAGTTGGTACACAGCTGAACTGTTGAAACACAGACCCGAGTTCGAACCCCACTGGGAGCAGATGAATGAAATCCATCCACAGTTCTCAATTTTACCTACCTTCTTCCCCCGAATACAGCGTACGGTCATTATAGCTGTATTTGAGGCATCTTTCAGTCCAGATACAGCTATAATGACCGTACGTTGTATTCGGGGGAAGAAGGTAGGGCCGGTCAATTCGATGGTGTGTTCTTCAAAAAAAGAAAAAAGGATCGAAAGGATGAACCCCTTTGCTGTTGTTAGTCTGGGATTTTGCTTGTCTCTCTTTCTGTGATCTTCTTCTTTCTTCATTGCCATCATGAGGAGTTTTTTTTTTTTTTATTTTTAGAACACCACGTCAAGGGTGGTGCCGCGGGGTGATATGAGCACCACCGAGTACTACTCCGACGCCCGTGGCGCCAGTCTTGGTGGGAAGCAACACCTGCTGGAAACCGGGTCCGGCGTCCCATATACCAGCAACATCACGAGGACTGACCAGGGTTGCCCTTCCTTGAGAACATTAGGGGATAAGACCGGCGTTGTCTTCAGCCCTCACCAGGCTGCCTGGTATTCATTCACCTTTCCCTGGCAGGAGGGTTTGATTATGTAGTATGTACATTTCTAACATCTTCATACAAGAAGCTTCTGGTACTTACTATTTACTGTACCTGTGCTGTACCTACTGCATCTTGTAGGGCAGATACATACACGCCTGTTGCTGTAACTAGTGTATCTTGTAGGGCAGATACATGCACAGGCACCAACCCAATCAAAGCTTCTATGGGTACCGATCGGGCCCAAAGTTGTGAACACGAGTGACGAGAAGCAGAGGTACCTCTTAAACCACCAGTACATGCCATACATTTATTGGCCCGTTTCAGAGGGCTGAAACGCAAGGCCGGCCGACGGCGCGGCGGGTCCAACTTTTTCGGAGTAGGTGACGGACAATTCTCCACAAGGCTGGGGCCATGTGCTAGCGGTTTAAAGTTTAAACCATCGGTAGGTTTCCCAGCTGTATTGTGTTCTGACATGGGGTCAGTGGTGATTTACCACAGGCTGGCAGGCTGGTGCTGACAATGATATAGAGAGGGTAGCAGCGATGACAGGCGGATGTGTAATCGTTTGCGGAGTCGCCATTCCCCCGGACACCAGGATGCTGTGTAGACGGCCAGGTTGGGTGGCTGGGCAGGTGCCCAGGCAGGCACAACATCTGTTCTCGGGTGCATGGAAGATTATCCCAGCCTAAAAAAAAATAGCAATCAAATGCAGCTAAATGGTTATTAAGTGATAATAAAATACAGATAGAGAGTAATTATTCGATGGCGATATTGCTTTTTTTTTTTTTTTTTTTTTTTTTTTKAGTTYTAACCTGGGTAGCACCCTGTATACGTACGCAGTGTGTACATGTACGTATTTCGGCGTACGCGTACGAACCCCAAATCACCCGTATGCGTACATATTCCGGCGTCTAGACCGGCCGGTCACCCGGGCGTGATGCCTGGGGGGGTCTGACGCCTGGGATACCCGGGCACGGGAAAAAAATAAAATAAAAAATTGCGGTGGGAGTTTTCCATGCACTCCGAGGGCTCTTTTCTTTTTTCGAGTGTTGGCTGTCAAGGGGGGGGAAGGGGAGTATAAATGAATTTTAAAGGGGCTAAAGGGGTTTAAAGGGGGTTGCCTTAGTGTGATTTGGTTATTTTCTTCTTTATCTTCAGCTCCGTGAGGAATTCTGATGTGACCCTCAGCCAAAAGTTGTTTGTATTGCAATTCTACACAACATATTGTTTTTCAGTTTTTGTTTTTTTTTGTTTTTGCACTGGGGCTGCCCGGGCCCATGCCCGGGCCCATGCCCGGGGGTCATGCCCGGCCGGTCACCCGGTCGCCCAAACCGGTAGTGACGTCGGGACCCGGGCGCCTGGGATATCTCCCTAGGCTACCCAGGTTCTAACCTAGGCTACCCGAGTGGCCAAGGACCACTTGCCCAGCCGGGCCGAAAAAAAAGAAAACAGAAAAAAGAGAAAAGAAAAAAGAAAAAAATAAAATATTTTTGTTTTTAAAATTTGTATTAATTTGTCAACAATTTCGATGCGACCCTGAGGCTAAAGTTGTTCAGTTTATTTTTCTGCATAACATAGTTTTTTTTTTCAGATTGTTAGATTTTTTTTTTTTTTTTTTATCACTTGTGCTGGGACCTTCCCTGGAGCATGGTCCTACTAGCAACGGGATAGGATAGAAAAGAGTTTGTGTGGCAGTTGAGTGACCCAAATCCTGCCGTGCAGTAGTATGGAGATCTTTGTTCCCCTCCTCCTCTCCTTAACACTGAGCATGCCGGCGCAAAGAAAGCTTCCTGCCAAAATCTTTTCAATCTCTTAGGGGTATGGCCAACCCCAAAAGAGGGTGGGGTCGGCCATAGGCCCACTGGATAGAAGATTTTCAGTATTTTGCTTGCTGTTGTGCAATTATCTCGATGGGTGGAGCCCTCCTTCAATCACGGAGTATATGGAGGGCGTCATGCTCACTGTTGACAGAAGCAGATTTTATTCCAGAAAAAAGATGTGGCAGTTACTTTGTTCACTGTTGTTGCAACCACCACCATCAGATCATTTGTGATTTGCTGGCTGGGAAGCACTCTGCTGTGATTTCCGGTGGGAGGTCTCTGTTTCTTTTTTTTTTGTTTTTTTGCCTCTCTCTTGTTTTCTCAGCCCAGAAATTTGTAATGAACCTGTCAGGCCTCTGCCAGTCAGTGTCACACTGCATCGGCCACACTCCTGTCCGACTGCTAATGGGACCATGCTCCTGGTCCATGGACGGCCGGGCTAACTGGGAAAACAAGGTGACCCGCGCGGCCCGGCTGGTAGCGTAGGTTCTAACGGGTGAGTCTCTCCTAATACGATCACATCCACCGTTGGACTTAGTTCCGGTTATTGGACGCATATATATTTTTGCAAATAACAATTATTAATTAGTAATTAATAATTTGACTAGGCTACCAGTGTGGCCTGGGGACCTTGTCCCACTTCCACCCTTTAGTTGAGGCAGCTCAACGGTGTGACAGCTCAAAAAATTCATTCTAATTCAATTTCAATTGAGACATGCATTTATAAATGGCACGAATACAAAAAAAATTGTTCTGGTTTTTCTTTTTTCACAATTGGAGTGGCATACGATACAGGCACTTCCACAGCAGAAAATGAAGAGTGAGTTGCCCGAATCCCGTCACGGTACAAAAATGGCAAACGGTAGGAGGCTCGTACAGTGTCTCTAAAAAAACGCCCTTTGGGGAACAAGAGGGTCGTTGAGCTACATAGCTGTCTCGAAAAAAGGAGACAGCTACCGGTAGCTCAACGGAAAGTGGCGAGGGTAGGGGGAGTAGTATTCGAGAGAAAGTAGATAGTCTCTATTGCCTTTTTTATTAAAAATGGACCGCTAGATGACTTGGACGACGTGCATCTCCGTTGTCGCGTACAGTCACACATCGTCGAAAGCCCAACGTTGACCTCCTGTAGCTCAACGGAGCTAGTGGGACAAGGTCCCGGGGGACCATTTGCTCGGCCGGGCCCAAAAAATAAAGAAATAAAAATAAACTTTAATTTTAAATTTATGTTTTATTTTAAATCTGGTAAAAAAATTCGATGTGACCCTGAGGCAAAAGTTGTTCAGTTTATTTTTCTGCAGAACATAGTTATGTTTTGGCAACTTTTTTTTTTTTTTTTTTTTTTTTTCTGGGCAACTTCAGCAGAATGAATATTATGCTTTCGCAGAAAAGTCCTCCTTTCCCTTTCCAAGGATATGGTTGATGAAGCTTTCTGTCTTTCACTTCCACTTTCGCTTTCGCGTTATCTACCTACCTCATTCGTTTCAAAGGATATGGTTGATGAAGCTTTCTGTCTGTGACCCTGAGTGCATCATTCATTTTATTATTATGATTAGTAATATATAGAAAACGGACAGAAATTCATCATATTACCATCGAGGTTTCTGATGCCTGACAGTCAGTGCAGTATTCCTTTCGTTTTTTCTTTCCATGTCCCTGCCACCTGCTGAATGCTTACTCTGCTTTCTCTCTCTATGTGTGCGCACGGGTCTTTGCTTGGATAAGCAGAATACTGCCCATCGCAACAAGCCGTGAAAACATTTCGATCGCAGGCCGCCTACTCAGATTTCATGAAGCAGTGGAATTTAAGTGTGTACTTCACCCTCAGGTAGTGGTGAACTCCTCTCTCTCTCTCTCTCTGTCTCTCTCTCCGGCCCCGCCTTCTTGCAAGTTCTTGCTTTTGTCTATCAAAATGAAAAGTGGAAAGACTTCGTGATAACCAAAAAAAAAAAAAAAAAAAAAACCCTAAAAAAAGGAAGAATCACCGTGCTCGGTGCTGTGTATTCTGCCCAAGGAAGCGCAGTATCTGATCTGTCTGTTATGTGTAATTCCCTGATATGGATGGCTGCGAGGAGAGAAAAAGAAGAGAACTCAGGGTGCAGATCCATTGCTTGTGTGAAGCCTTTGTCAGTCCGGGGCCCATCTCAGGCTGTGAGATCGGCCTGCTTATTGTGTGGCCACGGTACTTATGCTCCCGCTTGATCAGCCATCTTGATCTGGGATCTCAATTTGCGATCTCAATCTGCTATCTCAATCTGGGATCTGACCTCAATTTGGGATCTCAATTTGCGATCAAGATCAGTTTCTCTGTCCTTCCTCCCCCCTCCCCCCCCCCCCCCCCCCCCCCCTCCTTCATTGTGTACCACAGGAATGCTGTATGCGGTTCAGTGTCAGCTTCCATCTGCAACTGGGCTTTTTTTTTTCCTTCATAGAACTGGGAGCCTCATGCGGCTTAGCTATGTATAGTATAGAAGTCAGGAAGCAGGCCTGGCCTCACTCACAAAAAGGTAGGTGGTCCCGTTGATGGGTGAGGCTCACCGGCCAAGCCCAAAAAACAGACGACTAATCGCTGGGGAAACCCTAATAACGCTCAGGAACAAAGAGAATGCGGAAATCACCAGAAGATAGAAGGCATAGCTGGCAAAGAGGAGAGAAAAACAGAACTGGCCTTCTTTTTTTCTTTTTCTTTTCTTTATCTCTATGTTAGTATGTCTACACTCCTGAAGACTATTACCCGGTCCTCAGCTGACGCTGGCCGCCGGGCCCAGCGAAAATTGCTGGCGTGGTAGAGGTACCGGGGGGGGCGGTGTCCCACGGGGAACCGCAGGACAGAAGATCGAATCCAGATGGAACGCTCTCAAGTCTGTTCTGGGGCGGATGTTTTCGAACACAAGTACGTACGCCCGATTCTGTTCATTTTATCTTTTTTTTTTTTGAACTTTTTGTCCTTTCTGCAGGCGGCAGTCGGATGTTTTTGAACACATGTACATATGCCCGATTCTGTTCGTTTTATTTTTTTTGTCGTTTCTGCGGGCGCCAGGTGCTCTGCTACTCTCCACATGCCTAAAAGACAAAAGATATGGGAATGTGCAAGGAACATGAGTATGGACGAAGCACTGAAATCCAGAATGCAAAATCACACTGAAGTCCAAGTATTCAAAGCCAAAGCAGATAGCAYATGGAACCGAGTAACCATCCCATTGAGAATGATACAGAAGAATCGTGAGTCAATGTCCATGCCCACCAGGGCAACACCCACAGCATAACCCAAATGTAGCTCTCTCTTGTGAATGGCGCCAGGCACCCTATCTACTCTACAGCCTATCCTACAACTACAGCAATGAACAGCAAC